AATGTTTTTATGAAATTATGAATTCTAAAAATTATATAGGTATTATATATTTGACATATATTTTAATTCCATCCAATGTTTTAAAACCTGAACCAGAGGTCAAACCATTTTAACCTTCGATTCATGATTTGACCGATTTAACTAGTTTAACCGGTAAAACCGCTGGGTTGATCAAACGATTATAAATATATTATTTTGCAAAATATTTTGTCGGGTGTTAGTTGGTTGATTTAATATTTGAAAGATCACAAGTTTAAGCCTTTTTGAAATCAAACTTTAATATAATTGTGGCTTTAAAGATAGAATAAATATATTGTAAAGCAAAAAAATAACAAATAAAAGGTTGTTTCTTAAGTGGTAGAATCTTTGTTTTATATTATGGGGAATGGGGGTTCGAGTCCCATGGTTGTCATTAATAATTTGGTTAAAAGTTTTGAGACTTCTATTAGATAAAAAGAATTTCAAGCACTCAATGACATAAAGATTGTATTGTCCTAGTGGTAAAGAGTTGGAATTAAGGCTTTGGGGTTGTGAGTTTAAGCCCTGTGAGAGACAAATTTTTGAAGATTTTATGCCAAGTATTGAATCGTCCGGTTGAATGGTTTATCGGTTTGAGTGGTTTCAACGGTTTACAGTTCAAATGGTTTAAAGGATATAATCGAATCGTTTATATCAAGGTTTTTAAAATCGGACCGGATCGACCGGTTGAACCGATCGAACCAGTATCCGATGATGAAAATGGTTCGGTTTATATAAGAAAACCGTTTGAGGTCAAAATCGATCAAAAACCAATCAAAACCGGTAAAAACCGATGGAACCGAAAAAACTATCGGTTCAATTTCTCATGCAATCTTCTTTCAATTTTTTCCAATTTCACCCTTCCGATTCCTTTCTTATACCCATTTTAACCTTTAATTTTAATAAAATTACAAAATTATCAACACCAAATTAGAAAATCCATGCCTGCAGCTTGCTCCTCTCATCAAATCTTCCTTGCTGTTTGGACCGATCGGTTCACCTGTTCAACTAATTGAACCGATTAAACCAAAAACCAAACCTAAAAATGGTTCAATAACTGATCCGATTTTAAAAACCTTGGTTTATATCACCAGATACCAATTCAACCGGTCTGATCAACTAGTTCAATCCGATTTTCAAAACATTGATTCCACATACATATTCAGTAATCTTTCCCTTTTCTTTTCTTGAAATAAGAACAAAACTTGAATCATAAAATAAAAATTAATGTTTAATAAAGTTTTTTAATTAAATAGTTAATTAGTATTAGATTCTGTTAAAGAAAAATAGAGAAAAAAATATAAAAAATTTTAATTTTAATTTTAAATTTTTAGAAGTTGGGTCTACTTGATTCAATCTGAGACTCGTGTGGGTAAGTCTTTTAACCCGACACCTAAAATAACCCAATCTAAAAACTCA